CTTGGCCATGACACATCGGTGAATCATTGCCCAGAGCTCCGCGTGCGTGCCCTGCGGCGCTGGATGTCCGTCGATGATGCTTTGGAACCCATCGACCACCGCCTGGTTGTCCACGAAGACGTGCACGGGCCGTTCGGCACACGCCGTAAGGTGGACGATGGCAAGGGTCTCCGCAACCTGGGCGTTCTGCGTTAGGCCGTGAACGCGTGCACTGTAGTTCATGCGGTGGTCGATGCCGTAGTAGACGCCGTAGCCCGCTCGTGCAAGGAGTGGGATGGCTTGGTTGGTGCACGCACCGTCCGTGGCAGCATAGACCCATGTCCATCCAGTGTCGTTGTCAAGGTAGGTGGTGTAGGTGTCCTGGGCTGAAGCCGCAGGATCACCCTCAGGGGGGGCCGCGGGATGGGCTGTGGCAGCGGGTCCCTCGCGAGGTCGGCCTGCAGGTCGAGGAGGGCTGGGTCTTCGTCGAAGAGCCCGCAGTGTCTTGTGTGCGGCGGAAGACGGGCCCACTGGTCGTCACTGATGAGGGTGGCGAGAGGAACTCTTTCTCGGGCCCAGCACTTACAGTCGCGGACAGTGTGCTCCTGAGTTTCCTCTTCCTCGTCGCAGTAGCGGCACATGGGGCTGGGGTCTGCCGACGTGTTGGATCGGGATCGTCGCTGTTGGGTGTGGTCCCCGCCCGACAGGTAGTTCAGGAGGAGCGCCAGCTGCCAGGCAGTGCATTTGGCTGCTCCTTTGGTTCGCGCGAGCCACGTGCTGGCGAAGAGGTCAAGGCCCTGTCTGACCGAGGCGAGGTAGCCAAGGTCGTGTCGCCGTGGCTTGATCTTCCGCAGAAATGCCCTGCGTTGTGAGGCCCGCAGCATGTGCAGGAAGGCGTTTTGGGGTAGATTCAGCCAGCTGATCGGGCAGCCCCAGTCATCGTACATGATGCCAAATGTGGGCCAGGTCCATCGGAGCTGCTGGAGCGACTGGACGAGTCGCCCGACGGGTCCTCCACCAAACAGGGTCTGGACGTGGTGTTGGAGGTCTCTGGCGAGCCCGCAGAGTGTGACGTCGCGGTTAACCTGACGCCGCAGGCACAGGAATGCTTCACGCTGCGTGATGGCGTCGATCTCAAGGGCGTGTCCCGGCACGCACACGGCCATGAGAGTCCAGAACTCGACCCACTTGTTCCCCTTGGGGCGGATAGCCGCCTTGAGGGCGTGGTTGTAGGCAGTCTTGGCTGGGCCTGATGGTGCTTGGATGTCGGTGCCCGTGGTGCAGACGCTGGCGGCCAGGGATCGGGCGTGCCGCGCCTTGATAAGCATCGGCGACGGGAGTTTGCCAATGCGCGGCAGGCGGATAGTCGCCCTCCGCACACGGGCGTCTGCGGTGGCCGTGAGGTTAAGCGCGGCTGGAGCCGGCGCTGCCTCGGCGTTGATGTAACTCCCGACGAGCTTGAAGGAATCGACCACTCGGAGGGGGCGATCCGCCAGTGTGAGCTGGGTGACGGCGGCGTGCAGCTCATCGGTGAGCGCCCACCCTGCCACTTTACCAGGGTGAATGCGTTGACCGGAGAATCGGTCAAACTTGGCGGTTTCGTCGAGAGATTTCTGCAGCTCAGGAGCGGTGTGGGTAGTGGAGTTGCTGTCGTCAACGAAGGTAGTGCTGAGTGATCGAGGAACGTATCGGTGCTGCCTCTTTGTCCACACGCACATGAGCAGCTTGATGTCATCCAGGGACCACGAGCTGCCCTGGAGGTGACCGTTTGTCCTGGCCAGGTCCCTGGAGTACGCTCCGTTCATGCGGATGTAGCGTTTGTGGTGTCTGTAGAAGTTTCGGCGGACAGTAACGATGTCTTGTGGGCACCCCGCGTGCAGCGCAAGGTTTAGACAGATGTCCGTGATGAGGTAGTCGAAGCACTTCTGTCGGTCAAGGGCTGCTCCAGCTAAGGGGAGGAGTAAAGTCCTGGCGTGTTCGATGCGCAGGGCGAGAGAAGTGCTGACATCCCCAATGGTGGCTTTGGGAACGGCGCCGAAGCTCGTGGCATGGGTCCATCCTTGCCGCCAGGTCGTGAGGCTACGGTAGGCCGGCGCCTCCCACGCATACATCCACACGGAAAGAACCGAGAGAAGCCGTTGGTCCGTCGGGAGTTCCCCTCGGCCTTTTCGGAGGCACGGGTTTGGCACGTGCAGGAGGGGCTCGGGGATGGTGCCAGTGCGTTGCATAGCACGTAAGACGCTGGCGAAGAGGCGAAGGATGTCGTCGGGTAACTCCTTTGCCTCCTTGGTCGTCCAGCCGTCGAGTCCCCCCGCGCGGCGCGGTGAACGGGTGCGAATGAAGTGGATGAGTTGGTCGTCGGTAAGGTGGAAGGGGGCTGCTGGTGATGGCGTAGGCAGCTCTTGGCGGTATTCGTCGTAGAAGTCCGCCCACGTCGGCATAGCTTCGGCGTCATGGCCCGCGCGAGCGCGGTACGTGCCCAGGATGGGCTCCCAGGTGTCGACCATGAGCTTGAGCATGT